CAAGCAATCGTAGTACAAATCTTCCAGCCAGTTAAACTAACTATATGCAACATCTATCTCCCAGACTTCAGCTGGGAATCAAGACAAATGCGGCAACTTTTTTCTCAGTTGCCTACACCTTGTGTCATACTGGGCGACTTCAACGCCCATAACCCATTATGGGGATCAGAGAAACTTGATATGCGAGGCCGCCTTATAGAAGATATCATCAACGAATATAACCTGGTGGTTTTGAACTCAGGATCAGGTACCTTCCTAAATATCCGCTCTCTTAAACTTAGCGCTATAGATCTAACAGTTTGCAGTCCTGAAATTGCACATCTGTTTACTTGGGAAACAATGGACGATCAATTCTCAGATCATCTGCCTATTAGAATAAAATGTGCGACCCGATGTTCAAACTTCTATTCCTCCCCAAAATGGCAAATTAAAAAGGCAAATTGGAGTAAGTTCCAAGAAAACATCAAAACCCTTGAGTTTAAAGAATCTGTCGAAGAATCTGTGCAACAGCTCACCGAAAATATCTTGGACGCTGCTAAAGTGAGTATCCCTGTTTCAGGCTATACCTCTCCCATTAATATAAAGCCCAGAGTGTCTTGGTGGAATCATAGATTAGAAAGAGCATTGAAAGAAAAACACCATGCACTTAACATATTTAAAAGATACCCTACACAAGAAAATCTTATACGCTTCAAAAAATGTAGAGCTAATGCGAGGAAAATTTTACTCAACAGCAAAAAAGCATCGTGGAAAAATTATGTTTCCTCAATAACCTCTGAGACCCCGACTTCAGAAATTTGGTCAAAGATAAGAGCTATAAGTGGAAGATCATTAACTCTACCAAGTTCTATTCTCATCGTTAATAACCAAGAAATATCCGAAAAGAACGAAATCTTGAATACTTTGGCACAACGATTTCAAATAAATAGTGGGACTGAAAGATATGCTGACAACTTTCCAACAAAAAAATGAAGCAGAAGAAGTGGGAATTGACTTCGACGAGGAAAATATATCTGAATATAACCTTCCTGTAACTTTGGATGAACTGGAGTATGCACTCGCTGAGGTCAAAAGCTCTTCACCTGGTCCAGATACTATACACTATGAAATGATACAACACTTACCTGTAAGTGAAAAACAAAAACTACTAGAACTATATAACAAAATATTGATAGAAGGTACTTACCCAAAACAGTGGCAAAACGCAATCATCATTCCTATCCCGAAAGCTGGTAAAGACAGTAAGGATCCCAATAACTACCGCCCCATATCTCTAACATGCTGCCCAAGTAAAATACTAGAAAAAATGTTAAACTTAAGGCTTATATGGTACCTAGAGAAACATGGATTATTGTCAAAATATCAAATGGGTTTTCGTAGGTATAGATCAACAACAGATCAGCTAGTCTATCTGGAAGCAGCCATTCAAAAAAGCTTTGCTAAAAGGCAACATACAGTAGCAGTATCATTTGACATTGAAAAAGCATATGACACTACATGGCGGTTTGGCGTACTGAAAACACTGCATGAATGGGGAATAAGAGGATACATACTACGTTTCATTGCAGGCTTCCTAGAACACAGGTATTTTAAAGTACGTATTGGAAAAGAACTTTCAGCATCATACAGACAAGAGAACGGTATTCCCCAAGGTTCAACTCTAAGCGTGACCCTTTTTCTTGTGGCTATAAATAAGCTAATCGAAAAAGTGCCAATAGAAGTCGGGAAATGTATATACGTTGACGACTTAACAATATTTTTTACTGCAGACAAAATGGAAGATATAGTAGGTACTTTGCAGACATCCATAAATACATTAGCTTACGAGGCCGAAAAAATGGGTTTCTCCTTCTCTCCACAGAAATCAGCATGCATACATTTTTGCAGGCTAAGGAGACATCATGACCCACCAGCTCTGACTTTGAAAGGCACACCAATAGCTAACAGACACCATATAAACATATTAGGCATTACCTTGGATGATAAATTATACTGGAAGAATCATATAGAGGAACTCGTAATCAAAAGTAAAAAGGCCTTAAATATATTAAATGTCTCTCAAGCATCAGTTGGGGAGCAGACAGGGATGTGTTGCTCTCATTATATAAATCAATAGTCATGTCCAAGTTTGAGTATGGAGCAATAGTATACTCAGCAGCAAGACAATCCCATCTAAGTAGATTAGAGAGAATACACAAGGAGGGTATACGGTTATGCATTGGTGCCTTCCGGACATCACCGAATGCGTCCGTTTTTTGTGAATCAGGCATACCTCCCTTAAGCTACAGAATACAGCAGCTGCTACTGAACTATAGCGTAAAAATATGGGCACAACCCCAGCACCCTAACCACAATATATTATTTGAGGAAGAAGAAATTTCAATTTATCGGTCTAGACCATCCATCACAAAGCCCGCAGGTGCCCGCATCCATAAGCTACTCGAGGATTTAGAAACTCAGATGCCCCCAACCTATAGTCTTAAATACATAGATTGCCCTGTATGGAGGCTGTCACTCCCAGAAGTTAACTTCGAATGCGCCAAATACAAAAAAGGCCACACCAATCCTACATTTATAAACAGACATTTCTTGATATAATTGGTAAATACCAAAACGTAAGGAGAATAATTTATGCGGATGGGTCTAAAACCGAAGGGGGCATAGGATGTGCATTAACAACTACGGAGATAACCCGCAAATGGCGCCTAAGTCCAATGGCCTCAATTTTCTCAGCGGAATTATACGCAATACTTCAATCCCTAAAATTGATTGATGATGAGGAACAGGGCTTATACATAATCTGCAGTGACTCTTTGAGCTCACTGCAAACTATTTCTGACAAATTCAGTAAAAACCCCTTAGTTCAAGAGATCTCTTGACCACCTACCAGCTCCAACAGAAGAAATCACAGGTCATATATGTGTGGACGCCAGCACACGTAGGAATCCATGGAAATGAAATAGCAGATACAGCTGCCAAGGAAGCCACAATGGAAGAATACCTCAACATACCAGTCGTGCCTGAAGACGTGAAAAAATTCATGAGGTTGCAGCTACTTAATGAATGGCAGCAAGAATGGAACTCAACAAACCATTTTTTGAAGACGATCAAGCCGAACGTAACAAAATGGAATCTTCCCCATCTGACTCGTAGAGAGCAGGTCGTAATTACGCGAATGAGAATAGGTCACACAATTCTTACACATTCCCACATACTTTTAGGTAATCCACCACCAAGGTGTGAGACGTGTAATGAATTGCTTACTTGGAAGCATATACTGATCGAGTGCCCATCATACATAGCTGCTAGAAGAGCACACAACATAGCTGGTGATTTAAAAGGTTGTTTATCCTCTAATGCCAACGTAGGAGATACATTGAATTTCCTTAAATCTACCAAGCTTTTCCGTAAAGTATAACGTTATTAAATAAGATACTACTATGTAGAAATATATTAGATAGCTGTAGGTCTATGATAGATAAGGAAGCACTGGTGTCGGATAAGTAAGTAAATACAGGGTACCCACGCGTATGTGGGTATTCTTATTTACATTTTTTTTTTCTGTGTTTGTCTGTAATAAGTTAATTTTATATGTTTGTTCTTCTTTTTTATGTATTCAAAAAAATCTGAGCTACATCACATAACATCCGAATCACCCAGATTTACCCCTGTGGTGAATGTGGCAATTGACCATATGGGCAGGAGGAAAGCGGCTAATGGCCTTAGCAGTCGATGCCGCTGTGGGCTTAAAAAAAAAAAAAAAAAAAAAAATAATAATATTATAATAATAATAATATCATAATAAGAATAATATAATTATAATTATAATAAGAATAGTAATTATATTATAATAATAGTAATATAGTTATTATAATAATAATATAATAATGAAGTTATAATAAGAATAATAATAATATAACAATCTAATAATAATAATAATAATAATTATAATATAATAATCAAAATTATATATAATAATAAAATAATCATAATAATAATAACTATAATTATAATAATAATAAATAATAATCTAATTAATTTAACGATCTAATAATAATAATAGTTATAATAATAGTAATCATAATAATAATAATAATAATATAATAATAACTATAATTATTAATAATATGGGTCTGGCCGGTAAGGGGACTGCCGCCAGCAGTTTCAAACCCGCTACCGTAACGACGTAGACGGTACAGCCAGCAGCGCAACGTCTGGCCTTAACCCAACAGTTAAGCTACTGATATTAACACCGAAGGATAGTCAGTACGGCCAGCACGCCTTCCATTTATCCATGCGTGGTTTTTGTCTCTCTTCCGCGCCTGAGTTTCAACATTTTAGGTAAACAATTACACCTACTTATAAAAAGAGAACAAAATTACCCAGAAATGGAGAAGGAACAAAATGAAGCCTCGGAATGTAACGACGTAATCGGGACTCGTCGCTATGCGACGAGGTCCGCGTCCGGCAGGGAGCGTAGGGGAAGGTCGCACCCGGTCGTCATCCAGCGAAATCCCCCCAACATCACCACATATACAAATACTTCACTGAATGACCTAACACAACACCACCAAGCGGTCAATGCTGGTAATAATGTTGCTGTGGACGCATCGCCCCAGCCCATGTTACCAGCCCATAGTAGACGGCAGAGAACCACTTGGACGACAGAAATGAATGAGTACGTGGTTCGCTGCTACTATAGAATTACCAAATTGCAAACTTCACAGGAACCTTATGGTGCTGAATTGCATAAATTAGTGACAGAAAAATTTCCCCAGTTAAGACAAAAGACACTGCAGAACATCCTAGACCAGCGCAGATCTATATTTGTGAACAGCAGATTGCCAGCGGAGAGAATAGATACAATTAGGCATGAAGTAGCAACCGAATTGGGCATGGTAAATGATGCACAGCAGAGTCAAGAGCAAGCAAATGACGCTCAGACTGAAACGCCAAGCTATTCGCCATCAGTGCTGGAGGAGGAATATAGAGCCATCATAATGAGCTATGACGGTATAGATCCGACAAAAAAGCCTCGGCTACCCAAACTATTTTGCAACCCAACGGCAGCTAAAAACCTACGTGAAATGAACAGAATTATCGCTGCTGATATTAGCGACCAAACAGATTTTAAGGACCTACACGCCATGATCTATGCTGGGGCGTTCGCGGTTCTAAAGCTAAACGGTCAGAGACCTACAGATGTTACAAGTCGGAACGGAACTAAAAGGCAGCCAGCTTGGGAAAGGAGGCTAAGCAAGAACATAGATAATATCAGGAGCGATATAGCTATCCTAACGCAGTACCAAAAACCGACATACAGCCAAAGAGTGAAAAAGAAAGGGGACACAATAATGCGACGATATACATCTGAAGAAAACCCAACCATAGTCGAAGTTTTGGACCTTCTAAAGCAGAGACTATTAGCCTTATCTCAAAGAGTGAAGAGATATAAGAAGAGCAGCCAACGTCGTAAACAAAACATCCTATTTCATAGAAATCAGAGAGCATTTTATAAATCTGTGGGCAAAGAATCAGATCGTACACTACAAGGAAAAACATCATTTCCTAACACAGAAGACATAAGACACTTCTGGAGCGGTATATGGAGCAACCCCAGAGAACACAGAACAGCGCATTGGTATCAGCAAGAGAAGGCTAGAACTTCCATACAAGCAATGCTGTCTTGGACCATAACTAAGGATGATGTAGTGAAAGCAATAGGTAGGACTTCCAATTGGAGAGCTCCAGGGCCAGATGGTGTTCACAATTACTGGATAAAGGCATTTACTTCCACCCACCAACAACTTGCGAAATGCTACTCAACATTCCTCGAGAGGCCGGAAACTATCCCAGAATTTCTAACAACAGGAGTTACATACCTGATCCCAAAAACTGAACAATATACTGCTGATCCCGCAAAATACAGGCCAATTACTTGCCTTTCTACAGCGTATAAACTCCTTACTGCTATATTGGCTGACAAAGTACATAATCATTTGGAACGTAACAACTTATTGGATGAGGAACAGAAGGGATGTCGGAAGGGCTCAAGAGGATGTAAAGAACAACTGATAATCGATGAAATAATAACGGGTAGTGCCAGAAAAAAGAAGTCGCCCTTGTTCACTGCATACATCGATTATCAGAAAGCATTTGATAGTATTCCACATTCATGGTTAACGGAAGTGCTACACCTTTATGGCATAGAAAACCATATCGTGAAACTATTGACCTATGCAATGTCCAAATGGAAAACGCGTCTCTGTCTTAACACCCCAGACTCGCAGATAGATGCTGGAGAAGTCAGTATAAAACGAGGGATCTTTCAGGGCGACTCTCTAAGCCCGCTATGGTTTTGCCTAGCTTTACGCCCACTAACATCGCTGTTAAACAGTCAAGAAAAAGGCGTAAAGATTGCCGAGGATGGTACACAACTATCTCATCTTTGGTATATGGATGATCTGAAATTATTTGCAGAGAAGAAGGATCACCTACATGCGCTGTTGATTGTGTGAGCAGATTTAGCAAAGATGTGCAAATGACGTTTGGTTTAGATAAATGCCGCATAAGTTGCATGACTAAAGGTAAGTGGACAGAGCATGAAGGGTATAAAGTAAGAGGGTCGCAAGGAGAGATCATCAATATGCAAAGGGATGAACGCTACAAATACTTAGGCTACCTCCAGGCACCAGACATAGACCAAAAAACGTCGAAGCAAAGATCTACCGACGAATACTTGAGAAGATTAAGGATCATTCTTAAATCAGAATTGTCTGCTATAAATACGTCTGTTGCAGTGAACGCCTACGCAGCGTCAACGCTTACCTACACCTTTCGGTATACTCAAATGGACTGATACTGAGCTGAAAGCCCTAGATATAAGTACCAGGAAAGAATTCCGTCGGTATAGGGCGCATCATCCTAAAAGTGCAATAGAGCGCTTCCACTTAGCACGGGCGCGAAGGAAGGAGGAAGAGGAATCCCCAGTATGGTGTCCAGACATTACCAGCAAATTGATAATCTAAGGACATACTTCTTGGAAAAGGCGAGTAGTAGCAGAATACATCAGGCACTAGCCAACAGAGATAAGGGCATTACCCCACTGAACCTAGCCAACCTAGCTCTCAATCCATCCGCGATGGTGTCATCACCCCCCGAACTGATCGAGAAGTGGAAATCCAAGCCACTACATGGACGCTATAGAACGCGAATTGAAGACCAGCAGTAGACACCAAAGCATCCCAAGAGTGGGTGCGTTCCAGTAATCTGTTCGTGGAGACAGAGGGGTTTGTGATGGCTATTCAAGACCAAGTGCTGCCTACGAAAGTCTACAGAAAGCGAATAATGGGAGAAAATATAGACAATATCAAATGTAGAATCTGTGGAGGTAAAGACGAGAACCTAGACCACATTATCGCAAGCTGTTCCACACTCGCCCCAAAACAGTATCTAGAAAGACATAACGACGTGGCAAAAATAATCTACTTGGAACTGGTCAAGCGCTATCTCAATGAAGGACCTACTGAGCCATACTATCGCTACACGCCCCTCCAGTTAAAGAGACTGGGTCACACAAAATGTATTGGAACAGGAAAATAATCACAGACCGCACAATACCAAACAACATCCCTGACATAGTGCTAACGTTAAAAGAGCAAAAGATAACATACATTATAGATATCGCGGTTCCGCTCCCTGTCAACCTTCAAAGTACCTACTCAGAAAAAATCAACAAGTATCTACCACTGTCAGAAGAAATAAAGCGGATGTGGGGAATGAATACAGTTACGATTGTACCGATAGTTATTGGCGCAACAGGTGAGGTCCTTAAGAAGTTACACACAAGTCTTGAAAAGTTAGACCTTGACCAACATGTTTACAAAAAAATTCAGAAAGCCGCTTTACTGGGGACATGCAGAACAGTCCGTAGGGTCCTGGCAGGCGAAAACTCGACATTGTAACCTGCAAAATTGGTATGCCTTCAAAATGCTTACATCCTCTGGTGCAAACCTGGATTAAGCATATCAAACCCTCTCAGAGGAGATGATTGAATGAAAACAATAATATAATAATAATAATAATAATATAATAATAATAATAATAAGATATTATATATAATAATAATAATAATGATATTATAAAATAATAATAATAATCATAATAATAATAATATAATTATAATAATAATAATAATAGTAATTATATTATATAATATAATAATATAATAATAATAATAATGATAGTTATAATAATAATAATACCCCGCAGGGGTATCTACTTTTGAAGCTGGATCTTTGGTCCGGTTTCAAGGGAAGATACATGGGGAGCGTCGCCCCCACGGCCCCAGGCAGGGAGTTCGGGGCTTGGTAGTCTTATTCATTCTGCCAACCCTGGGCTTTTCCTTCCCCCTTTCTCCCATCCTTCTCCTTTTATTATATCCTGTGCAGCTGTCCGCTGCCCTCCCGGCTTTCCTTGTCCTTTCCTTACTCCATGCGTTGAGGCGGCGCGTGGGGCTTCCTCTTAGCCTCCCGGGTGTTTGTGCCGTGCCCGGCGACCCGTAAGCTGGCCAATGGAATCCTGGTGGTTGAGCCCTACCAGTCAGGGGGGCAACACGCCACTTTGGTCCGGCCGTCAGTCTAGAAGGGCGGCCGCGCCTAGCCCAGCGTCGGTCAATCGGCTGTGCCATCTCGTCAGAGGGCTGGTTGGGCGAGCCTCCACAGGTAGTAGAAGCCAGACGGGAATAGTTCGCTATGCTCGATGTATGGTGGAGCTACCTGTGGGGACTATACCTCCTTTTCCTAGGATTAACGGTATCCCTGGGGTTATGTCCTAGCGGAAGGCGATTATGAGCATAACCTCCCATTGAGGCTCCGTGGAGGGTGGGGAGCCGGGGAGGTGAAGACAAACACAATACTATGGGAGACAAAGTAAAAACAAAAGGTGCGCCTACCTCCTCAAATGTAGGCAAAAACAGCGAAGGTGAAGCTACATGCAGAGCTACCACTGGACACAGTAATATTACCAAGGGGTCGGCTGGTCCTACCCCCCGATTCCTGGTAATAAAGAGAATAGATGGCGATAATTTCATGAAAGTAAGTCCATTTCTGATATCAAAGACGTTATGCGGCTTGATTGGAGAATCCAATTCTGTGAAGAAGATTAAAGCTGGGCTGCTAGTTGAAACAAGAACAGATGGTCAAACATATCGATTGTTGAAGGTAGAAAGTTTTGCTAGTTTTCCTGTTACCGTTGAACCACATGCCTCTCTGAATTCTAGCAGAGGCGTAATCTACTGCAGGGATTTATTAAACTGTTCCGAAGCTGAAATTATGGATGAGCTAAAATCTGAAGGAGTAATAAAGGTACAACGTATAAAATTAAAGAAGGATAATGAACTACAAGACACTCCAGGCCACATAATTACATTCAATTCTCCGAACATACCACAGAGACTTAGTTGCGCGATGTACAAACTACCTGTTCGTCAATATATCCCACCTCCTGTACGCTGTTTCAAATGTCAACGGTACGGCCATACCTCGATATCATGCCAAGAGGAACAAATCTGCATTTGCGGTAAGAAAATACACACTGGAAAATCTTGTGATCAGCCCATAAAGTGTGTGAACTGCAATGGTCCTCACGCAGCAAACTCCAAATTATGTCCAAGGTATAAGACAGATCAGCTATACAGAAAGTTATTACTATCGAAAAAATGAGTTATGCTGAAGCTAGAAGGAAGGTAGTAATCCCTACCCCGCAAGCAAATTTATCATATGCACAAGCATCTCAGAAGCGCCCAGACGATGAAATAATAGAGAAGATTATACCACGTCTAACAGCTATAATTAGAACGTCGATCTCGCAAGCCATAGAAAACAAAGCAGTATGCAGCAGCACACCCCAGCAATTTGTCGCTCCATTGCCAAAGATAAGTCATGGATTGCGTCTAGAACTAGAAGTCAAACAGATGCTTCTAACTCGTCTAAAAGAAAAGCTACATCTCCTGTAGATGGATCGGAACTTCCTGATGAAAGTCTCACCTCGTCTCAGACTGACGATCCAGAAGCAAAAAAGGGTACACGAGGCTGGAAAAAAGGCAGACCTCGTAAAACAAATAAAACCGCACTGTTTCAGTCGGAACAACCCGTTCGGAGTGATGATACAGAGCGTCCCAATCAACAGAACTCCGAAACTGAGCAGTTGTCGGAGACTGTGATACTTCTGTGATAAAATTAACTGTGATATTTTGATAACATTATAATGTACTTTTCAATTTATTTACTTGTTTATTCATTAATTTATTTACTTATTTATTTGTCTATTTATTTATTTATTTATATTTATTTAGTCCCTCACCTATTTGCTTATTTATCTCTCATCATCTATACAGGGTGTTCCATAATTATTGCGACAAAATGATAGGGGTTGTAGAGGGCATCAAAATGAACAATTTTGCCTTATAAACCCCTGTTCGGAAATATGCCGTTTGGGATGCAGCAAAAAAAAAGATCAGTTTCTTGAAACAGCTTACCTACAATAATTGCTCAAAGTGTCCTCCACCTTGCTCAATACACAGCTGTGCACGATTGTTCAAT